CCCCAAAACCCCAAAACCCCAAAACCCCAAAACCCCAATAAAGAAAATTTTATTTGAAGTAACTAATATTAACAAACTCTAGAATACTTTTATGGAAAAGACACAAGACGAAATATACAACTTTTCAGCAGGCCCATGCTGTCTCCCTAAGGAGGTACTCAAGAAGGCACAAGAAGAGCTCCTCGATTGGAACGGAACCGGAATTAGTGTCATGGAAATGTCTCACAGGTCTAAAGCATTCAAAGATATTACAGGAAAAGCAGAAAAGGATCTGAGAACGTTGATGAATATCCCAGATAATTATCATGTGCTATTTCTTCAAGGAGGAGCTTCTCTTCAGTATTCAGCAATCCCATTCAACCTCTTAGATGACAATAAGAAGATGAATTATCTCGTCACAGGATTTTGGGGAGCTGGAGCATTCAGAAATGCAAAGAAAGTTGGAGATGTCACTGAAGTTATCAAACCTCTCGAAACGTACAATGGATGCACAGATTTCTCTGAATGGACAATTGACAAAGATGCAAAATACTTTCACTTCTGTGATAATGAAACTGTGGATGGAGTTGAATTCCATAACTTCCCATATGAAGAACTCAAGGATCAATTACTTGTCTGTGACATGAGCTCGAACCTATGCTCAAGATCCGTTGACTGGAATAGATATGGTCTTGTCTACGCCGGAGCACAGAAGAATGTAGGACCTGCAGGAGTCACAATTGTGATTGTTAGAGATGACCTTGTTGGAAAACAATTAGATATCACCCCAGATGTGATGAATTATAAGAAACATGTAGATTCTCCCGGACATTGCTATAACACCCCATGCTGCTGGTCAATTTATATGGCAGGTCTTAACATTGAATATATGCTGAAGAAGGGTCTTGATAAGATTGAAGAGGAAGCTCAAACCAAAAGTAGCATGCTCTATGATTATATTGATGGAACTGAAGGCTACTATGTCAATCCAGTCGACCCAGCTTATAGAAGTAGAATAAATATACCTTTCAGAGTAAAGAGCGATGAGAAACTGGAAGAAAAGTTTGTTGAAGAGGCTAAAAAGGAAGGTTTAGTGCAATTAAAAGGACATGTATCTGTCGGAGGCATCAGAGCATCTATTTACAATGCTATGCCAATTGAAGGAGTCAAGAAATTGGTCAGCTTCATGGAGAAGTTCAAGGAAGAAAATCCATAGTTGGAATAAGATTTTTAGATTAAATCAATCTTGATGAATCAGAAGGGGTTTTGGGGTTTTGGGGTTTTGGGG